GGGGGGGGGGGATGCCCGGAGGACATTACACCAAGTGAAATAAGGCAGACACAGACAAATACTGTCTGATCTCACTTATATGTGGAATCTAAAATAACGTCAGAGTCCTAGAGGCAGAGTAGACTGGTGGTTGCCAGGGGCTGGGGGTGGGGGAAATGGGGAGACATGTAGGTCAAGGGGTGTAAAGTTTCAGTTCATCGTGCGAGATGAATACGCTCCGGAGATCTGATGTACAGTGAGTAACACTAGCTAACGGTACTGTATTGTGTGCTTGAAATTTGCTGAGACGGTAAATCTTAAGTGTTCTCACCAGGGAGAGAGAGCGAGAGAGGAAGAGAAAAAACGGTAACTACGTGAGGTGACAGAATGTTGGTTAGCTTGATCGTGGTGATCGTTTCACATGTACGTGCATCGTTTGTGTACGTGCATCAAAACACCAAGTTGGATGCCGTTTGTCAGTTATACCTCAGAAAAGCTGGGGTGGCGGGGCGAAAGGAAGCTGGTTATTTTTTTTTTCTTTCTTTTTTTTTAATTTTTTTTTTCAACGTTTATTTATTTTTGGGACAGAGAGAGACAGAGCATAATGGGGGAGGGGCAGAGAGGGAGGGAGACACAGAATCGGAAACAGGCTCCAGGCTCTGAGCCATCAGCCCAGAGCCCGACACGGGGCTCGAACTCATGAACCGCGAGATCGTGACCTGGCTGAAGTCGGACGCTTAACCGACTGCGCCACCCAGGCGCCCCAGGAAGCTGGTTATTTTTAACCAAACAGGCCAGTGATGAAAAAGCCCAAGCTGTCTGCACCATGGGGTTCTTCGAGGCAATTTTAGATGACTGATTATTTACTCTGTGAAGTCCCACCCTGGCCTCATAGAGGGCCTGCCTGATTAGACATCATAAATGGCCTCAGCTAATTAAAATGGGGGGTCAGGAGACACAAAGCGATGATTACTTCATAAATCCCGCTTTGGGCAGACAGGACCGTCTAGTGTTCTGGAGCTCAGGGGGAAATGTGATAAAGGGACCCTCGGGGGTGGAAAGGCTGGGGACCGGTGGTCAAGGATGACCAGCAGCCTTTCTCCCTGGGGACCGGAGGTGGGCAGGTGGGCGAGATGTGCAGGTGTGGGGAGGACTGCTGTGCCCTCCCTGGGACACTGAACCTCTGTGGCTCCTGGGCCCCTCCCTTCTCCCTGCAGAGAACACAGCTTCTTTCTGAGCTTAGCCACCTGATTTTCACTGGGGAGAGAGAGGGGAACCACACGGAAAGTGTGGTGAAGCAGCTTTAGCGCACATCTCCGGGCCTCCACTCTTCCCTCCAAGCCGGCGAGGACTGGCAGGTGTCCCAAGCCGCAGGGGGCCGAGGGCGGGTGGCCGGGGATGTGAACAGCCAGCCGCGGAGCCGGTCCTTGGGGGTCCCACCCACAGGGAGGAATCCTGGCTCGTTCGGGAAGGTGTGCGATTGCTGCTGCTGTTGATTTTTTGGGGATTCTCCATCTCCGCACCGTGAGACCCATGTTGGATTCTTGCTTTTTTCCAGGCAACCGGTGACCAAGAACACTTTCCGGCAGTACAGAGTGCTGGGAAAAGGGGGCTTTGGGGAGGTGAGTGAATGTCCACGTCTTTGGAAGTTCCCAGACTCTGTCACTGTTTTTGTCCCTTCCGGAGGCACCTACGGTGCCCTGCGCCCCCTGGTGGAGAGGGGGGTGGGGCATAGGGCCTGGAGGTGCCACCAAGGTGAGACACGAGGCTGTCCCGCAGGGCCCGTGGGACAGAGGTCCTCTTGGAACCAGCCTCAGTCAGGGTTTGAGTCTGAAGAGGAGAAACGGGTGTTCTTAGCTGTCTTTGGAGGGAGGAGTGGCCAGATGCTGCTGTTAATAGGTGCTGTTGTATTTCGCCTGATGTTCCCAGACTGGGAGGCAAGCCTTGTTATTCCCATTTTAGGGATGAGGAAAGCTGAGGGTCAGAATGGTTGATGACCCGGGCCAAGGTCACACAACCAAAGAGGCGTGGAGTCAAGAAGACAAGACCCCAAATGCCCCGGCTCCCGTTCTGCTGAGTTACAAAGTCGGGGTTGTTAGGGGTCCGACACCAAAACAAGCTTCCCTTACCAGCAGCTGGTGCCTGGAAGTCCCCAGTTAGCAACGGCTGCATCCTGTTGGAAGCGTGGGACGGAGAAAATCTAGTTGCCTCTGAGAGAGGGACAGTACTTTAGGCCTTGGCCAGTCCTCTAAACATCTGCATAAATGGCTGATGGTGTACCTTCAAGGGCCAGGACTCATGTGAAGGACGAAGGAGGGAGGGTAAGGGGGCACTAAAGCCAGATCTTGGGGGCAGGGCCTGGGGCAGGGGTGGGTCCAAGGCTAGGCATCCTTGGGCCCCGAGACTGGGAACACCCTTAGGCATATCAGTTGCCAGCCCTGCAGACCCAGCCACGGAAGAGCCTGGGGCAGACCTCCACCTGTTCCATACCCTTGTCGTCTTTCTTGCACCTCAGGTCTGTGCCTGCCAGGTCCGGGCCACGGGTAAAATGTATGCCTGCAAGCGCTTGGAGAAGAAGAGGATCAAAAAGAGGAAAGGGGAGTCCATGGCACTCAACGAGAAGCAGATCCTGGAGAAGGTCAACAGCCAGTTTGTGGTGAGTGTCCAGGCCCCAGCGACAGGCCACCCTTCTGGTGACCAGGGCTTCCGTGCCTAGGGAAGGGAGTGGCCGTCCAGTGTGGCAGCAATGAGCTGTGGAAAGGCAGCCAGGCATTCCCTCCATCACGAGGCTACTCGTGGTCAATTGTGGCTGCCTTGGTCCTGTCACTAGAACTGGCCTGGCTCCCCTCTGTGTGGGCCCATGGCCTCTGTTCTCCGGGACCACCTGGGAAGCTCCTCAGGGGACAAAAGCAGCCCACCTTGGGCCCGGCCAAGGAGCTTTGTTTCCACAGATCCCTGTAGGCTGGTTTCATCACAGGGGAGACCTAAGCGTCAGTATCCTGGAGAGCCGCCATCTTGTTTATGTGCCTTGTGTCACCATGACCAGGCCAGGCTCTGCTGCAGGAACTAACCCCCAGCTCGAAGTAGCTGGAAACAACACGGGCCAGCGTCACACACGTAGGGTCCAGCCAGATCCGGCCACCCTCCCGCACCTTACAGCTGCCCCACCTGGAGTCTTGAAAGCGTGTGCCGGGGGGGGGGCTTGCCCAGGGACCCTTACTGCCTCAGCTGCAGGAACATCCCTCACTCCGCCCACAGGCTGTTGGGCAGAACCAGTCCCTGCAAGGGACAAACCAGCTGCAGGGAGGTGTGGAAGAGTACGTGGGTGTTTGGTCAGCTCGAAATGCCTCTGCCACACGTCACTGTAAAAAACAATATATATGTACAGGGTCGACACTCAAACAGCACAAACAGGTTCAAACTGAAAACAAAAGCTTCTGTCTTTGGGTAGCCATTCCAACATGTCTGATTCATGTATGGGCTTTATTATTTTTAGCCAGGGGAGTCCTACCAGACATCTTTCGCTGCAGTGATTTCCCCTTAAATTGTAGGTCTTTTCCTGTGGCCAGATCTACGGCGGCACCTCTTTTTTTCACGCCGCACACCATCCCCTGCGACACAGCAAAGAGATAAACCATAAGCTGTGCAGCCCGTCCCCACAGATACAGATGGGTTCTGGTCTCCAAGCCACTGCGAACAAGGCTGCCGTGTCACCCCTTGAACATGCCTTTGGCACATCTCCGTGTGTCCGTAGGATGTACTCCCTGTGGAGGAAGGCAGTGTCAGAGGGTGTGCGCGTTTTCCATTTGGAAGCAGTTCCCAGATGGCTCTCCCTGAAGGTTGTGCCAGCTAAACGCCCACCAGCTGTGTGGGAGCGAGAGAGGCCATCAACCCAGTGCTTCAGTCATTCCCCGGAGGGCGTGGTTCTGTAAGGCGACGCTCAGAGGGGACGGGAGCGTGCATTCTCCCCGTCATCTCAGGCTGCCCTCGGCTGCCGGCCCCATCCTGGGCAGTGTGATGGTGCTGTGCTCCCACTAGCTGGCATTTTGGCCCTAGGCCCCTTTGAGGCCAGAACCTTCCTCTCTGCTGCCGGCTCCCTTCAATTGGGACCATAGGTCACTGCCTCAGTGCTGCCTGTGGAACCCCCATCATTAAAGGAAGGGGCAGCACTGGCTCTCATAGGGGTTGGTGATGGTGGGTCCTCCTCCAGGGAGAAGGGCCGTGTGCCTGATAAATGGGGTGGCACATCATCAAGGACCCAGACCGCCTTCCACCGTGCCCTGCCCCCTGCCCCTGGCAGGGAGTCCCCGTAGTGCCCTCCAGGAGCCCCTCCTTGGTGATCGTAGGCAGGTGTGGGAAGGAGGGCCAGCTCAGAGGCTGGCACCCAGCACAGTCCCCAGAGCCCTCCCGCTCGGCTCCCGTTCTGTTTCCTTCCCTCAGAAATAATTCCCATCGTTCCTGACTTTTGCATCCGAGTTTTATGGCCCAGCCTGTCCCCAGCCTGGTCCGTGGTGGCCAGATTTCATTTGTATTGGCTCCCTAAGTGGAGAGGGACGAGAACCACCCAGCGTACTTTGCCTCAGAACCAGCCCTGCCGCCTCTCCCGCAGTCTCATGGCCTGCATCCATTCTTGGGCAGCTGGTCTGCACCGGCAAGGAACTAGGTCCTGCCTGTGATTGGTCCCTTTGACCGGATGTGTCCTGCATGCAAGAGGAGGCAGTCTTTGCCAAACTGCGCTCCACTTCACAGAGTCCCACTGGCCACTTCCACAGCCTGCTCCCAGCGTCCCCGTGACAATGAGACCCCAGCCCAAAAGGCATCTGGGCCCCGCTTTTCTTAACTGGCCAGCTAAGGCAACCCACAGTTTTAACTAAATGAAGCAGGCACGTGCTTTTGTCTGTGTAAACGTACAGGCACCATCTGTCAGGCTTCCCAAAAGGGCCGAGTACCAGCCTGCCCTCCCCCACTTTGCCTCCTCGCCTGGAACCGCCATATTGGAAGGTCCGAGTCCTTCGTCAGCCAAGAGGGGCAATGGGCAGCGGTGCCATGAGGCTGCCCGGGTGCAGGGCGGTGGCACGAAGGTGCTGAGAGCCCCCCCCCACTCCGGCCCTCCCCCTCCAGCCTCGAGGACCCTGAGGAGGAAGAGTGGAAGCGGATAGCGGTGGCTGGAACCTCACCGCAGGGCTGTCTTGTGCTCCCAGGTCAACCTGGCCTATGCCTACGAGACCAAGGACGCGCTGTGCTTGGTTCTGACCATCATGAACGGGGGTGACCTGAAGTTCCACATCTACAACATGGGCAACCCTGGCTTCGAGGAGGAGCGAGCCTTGTTTTATGCGGCAGAAATCCTCTGTGGCTTGGAAGACCTCCACCGGGAGGACACCGTGTACAGGTGAGCGGGCTCACCACCTGGTCCCGCCACCAGCGGCTGAGTGGGGGCTGACCTTCCACACCCGGGGTCAGGCAGGGACCCCCGCCCTGGGACTCGGGGCCCAGCCGTCACCAGAGAAACTCACGCCCTGGACCACGTAAGTGAGGCGGGCTGCTTGGGGGGCCAAGTGTATGAGGTGCTAGTCCTTCAGAGTTGATGAGGATGGGCCAAGGCCACCGGTGCCTTCCAGCCCGGCCCGCCAGAAGCTCGGTGAGCCGGTCCCAGAAAGACAGTAGGATCATCACCACAGCAGCACAGACCTCGGTCCATCCCATATTGTTTGACTTTATGGGTTCCACAAGCAGTGGTTTTCAAACTTTTCTCACTGCCCCTCTCAAGGAAATTTGAAAATCTGTGTGCCCTCATACATCAAGGAGACATCCTAAATAGTATATCATTTGTTAAAACAGTGGCTGATATTTTGAAGCTCAGCAATTAACATCGCATTTTTGAAGGTATCCAGTGGAATCTAATTGCTACAGCAAATGGATTTCCACCAAAAATGCATGACGGGGTGCCTGGGTGGCTCAGTCTGTTCAGCGTCCCACCCGAGCTGCTTTCGGCTCAGGTCACAATCTCACAATTTGTGAGTTCAAGCCCTGCATTGGGCTCCGCACTGACGGCAAGGAGCCCGCTTGGGATTCTCTCTCACCCTCTCTCTCCTCCCCTGCATATGCGCTCTCTCTCAGAATAAATAAATAGACTTAAGAAAATAGTTTTTTTTAAGTCAAAACGCCTGACAGGGGTGCCTGGGTGGCTCAGCCAGTTAAGCATCTGACTTTGGCTCAGGTCATGATCTCACAGTTCGTGAGTTCAAGCCCCATGTCAAGCTCTGTGCTGACAGCTCAGAGCCTGGAGCCTGCTTCCGATTTGGTGTCTCCCTCTCTCTGTCCATTCCCCCCCCAAAATTAAATAAACATTAATAATTAATTAATTGTAAAAAATCCATGAAAACTCTTTAAAGGTGAGGGATCTATCACTCTCTTCCCCACTCCCTTCCTCCCCCACAGAATGTTATTATAACATCATCTCTTTTTTGGCCTAAAAGTCTATCATTGAGCAGCATGTGGACCTGAAATGGATGGATATATATAAGATTTTTATTTTAATTTCCTTTCACCATAGGCTCTCAGTGTTAAAATAACTTGTGTTAAGTTGCCATTGTAACGATTTTAGTAGAACCCATTTCTTTTTTTTAAAATTTTTTTAAATGTGTATTTATTTTTGAGTGGGGGGAGGGGCAGAGAGAGAGAGGGAGACAGACAGAGCGCCAGCAGGGCAAGGGCAGAGAGAGACAGAGACACAGAATCTGAAGCGGGCTCCAGGCTCTGAGCTGGCAGCACAGAGCCTGACTTGGGGCTCGAACTCACGGACCACGAGATCATGACCTGAGCCGAAGTCGGACACATAACTGCCTAAGCCACCCGGGTGCCCCTAGTAGAACCCATTTCTGATTGGGGTCCTGGAGCAGGACACCATAGCAATCAGATCGAGAAGGAGGCTGCTTTTCTTCTGTCAGTTGGAATCTGCCCGTTGAGAAAGGGCACGTGGTGGGGAGATCCCAGAGAATGCCAGCACAGGGCCTTCTCAGGTTAGAGATCTAGAAATACACGTTCTTGAAAACCTCAGCCCACAGAGAAGCCCCTGGACTGTTCCCGCAGACCCAGTGGACACACACACCCCAGTTGGAGACCTTTGCCACAGAGCTCTTGGCAGGGATGATCTTGGGAGTCCAAGAACGTTTTGAAACAAGAGGGAATGGTCTTGACCCCCCCAACATTCTCACGCCCCCACATTCTCACACCCCCAACATTCTCACCCCCCCCCGACAATCTCAGCCCCCAACATTCTCAC